TACTTTAAAAATCATGGGACGAATTTTGAAAAAGAAGTAGTACCATACTATTCCTACTTATTAGCTATAAAAAACGTTACGTTAGCATCTTCTTTCGTTCTCTTTTTAGCAGTTTTTTATGGGAATCTTATTTGAAGAAATGTGGTACCTAACATGATCTCTTAGTATGGAAAACTGCATAAAAAATCATGTATCTTAAGATTCGCTTCGTGTTTTGACTCAAAATCAAACTTTATGTTAATAAGACATACAAATTGAATCTTGTTTACTTACCCGTCATTATTACTAACAGAGCATACACCGCTTTCCCCTCTGTCGAATTGGGCATACAAACTATACATGAGTGCAGGATTTGGGGTGTGTTGCGTCATTGTTTATATTTGAGTATCGTAATTTAGGGATGTGAATGTAATGGAAAATAATCAAATTAATTCAAATAGATTTTTCTTTATACGAAATTAATAGATTTGTAAAAAATCGATTTTAATAAAAGTAAATAATCGATTTATGCGAAAAATCGTTTTTTTTTGTATTTGTAAAGTACATTCTTTTCATATTCCAATAATAAAGCTCAGATATTTATATTAATAATTTATCAGATTAAAAATCAAATAAAATTATATGAATAAAAAAATACCCAATTCAAAACTAAAAATCCAAGGAATATTCCTTTAAAATTTCAAGGTAATGAATTAGGAAACCAAATAGCAATACTGTTAAAAAAGATTTAGTACAATTAAACATTATATTTATTATAATAAAGATGAAATGACGAGCATCCCAACAAAATACTTGATCAACTTATACGTATGAACTTAATTCGATATTTTTCATCCAACGCATAGATGGCGCTATTTATAAAATTGAAACATATTGCAAGGTTTTTTTCATCCGTCGCACGAGCTGTTTTCTGAAATTGGTTTAAACACGTAATTTATATAATCGATTTACTAAAAATCGATTAATATTACTATAATAAATTTAAATTAAATAAAAATCGATTATTTTTTAACATCCCTATCGTAATTAACGTTTTGTTTTTACGCATGTACGTAAAACTACATTTGTGTGCCAAAGTATTGCAAATTATAAGTCTTATTTCAGCTAGCTGGGTAATCTCGTTAAATGGTTACGTGTTGCATTAATTAATGAAAGTAATTTTTGAGTACAATATATGAAATGTAAAAGTTTCTGAATGTGGCGAGTCCTAGGAAACTAGAAATGAGGCTAAGCCTACGTATGTGTAGGAGGCTGTAATATATATATAAACATGTTAACTTAACATTCGTTATTGAGAGAATGCCATATTTCATTATCAGTGTTGCCAACTAACTGATTTATAGCTAGCAACACCGTCCTATTAAGTGAAGATATGACATTCGTTTGCGAGAAAACTCCATCGCAAAGCTGTTTTAATATATTCGCGTTGGAAACGGATCTCTAAATAAAAATTATGGTGGCAATATGTAAATGTTGTTGAAATTACATTATGTATGCACCTATGTATGTAGGTGTTGCAATGCAATATCTTACTGGATTAAATCATAAGATGTCTGATATTTTTAAATATTTTTTCATATGCTATTCTTAAACTTTATAAATTAAAAGGAGTAAACCATTTTTTACGCAATGGGCATACGTGATTTTTCTAATTCTTAAACTCTAAACTCTGTTCCTGGTTGGATTATATGAGAAGCAGAATATCTTTAGATTCATGTATAGATCTTACTGCCCCCCTGGGCTTGTCGAAGAGTGCTCAAACTGTTTTAGAATCAGAAAAGTTTATCTAATGTTTGTACTGTTATTTTTTTATTTTAAGCGTCATGTGTGGTGAAAATATTAATATGTTATTTATTTATTTTTTAACCCACTATTTTTTTTTACTTTACGCCACTAAAATAAAAGAAAAGTATATAAAATTTAACAGAGGTGACAAACAACGTGCGTGTTTCGTGACACATGAATGCTTCGGGGCTTGCCTCGCTTACTCCTAGCAATTAGCCAATTAGCCCCTACTTCACACATGGCACTGGCTGTAACATTGCTTTTCCAGGGCGCAAAAGATTTAAAAAATATTCGAAACAAAGTGCAAAGTAACCGAGCATTCAGTAAATCGAATACAGCACAGCGAAAACAAAATGAACTAAAAGATTTAAGAACGATTGGATTTGAAAATTGTAAATACGATCGTGGTTTCGTGCAACGATACCTTGTGCTCTAGGGTAGTTATGAAAACTGAAAAAAGAACATCGTTTTTTTCATCATTAATGATATGAAAGCTAAGTTTATGGCTCATTCTCAAGGGCTACTTAGGAACAATGAAGTCACCTGTTTTGATTTAAATTTAAAGTTGAAAATTTACGTCATAATTCGCCAAAATGTTTCACTTTGGATCAACATTATTATTATATTAATAAGCTAGTTATTTTATGCATAAAAGAACAAGTCATGATGATTCAGTTGCAAAAAAACGAAAAACTCTTCTACTTATTTATTTGAATTTTTTAAGTTGGTCAGGTCGAAAATTGAGAAAAAAAATCATAACTCGAAAAGTATAAAAATCGCGGTACATACATGGGGGTGATTCGGATACTCACGATACGAGGGACCAAATTTTTTTGGACTCAATGTTTTGGCCACCCTGTATATTTTTTTCACAGATTATTAAATCCGAAGACATATTTGCAGCCGAGGGACTTTTGTACGCGGTATTTTTTTGTCCGCCGAAATAAATCGCTTACAACTGCATTGAGTAACGCACACGACGGATTAAAAGTACCGCGTAGAAACAGTCCTGAACAACCGAGGACACCGACCGATTGTGCCACTTAAAAAATACAACCAGTCGTTATGTGAACGGTCCCTAAGAGTAGAGTGAATGATTCGAGATTATCAGTGGCCGCTTGCCGATTACAAAACCAATTGAACCGATTGTCAATCTTGATTGAAGGCAACTGATGGATAATGCGAGTTTGATTGATGCCAAGCTATTGATCGTTTAGAACACTGGAATAGAGCAACTAAATGCCTGACGCAACTATAGGAAATATATTACAATGTATCTAATATAAACTGATAAAAATATTTTTGAAGTGAAACTTCTATTCGGACAGAGTGTAAATGGAAAAATCCTATGGAAAAGATCATCAAGAAGTCACGAGCGTCACAAGAATATATGTGTGCGTGTGTGCGTGTGTGTGTACGTGTGTGTGAATAATGCGTGCGCAGCTCTTCCCGGCGAGCATGAAAGTTGGAGGGTAACTCGGCGAAGGCTGAAACGCTACAAGCGTCACGAGCGTCACACGCGACAATTATATATAAATATAAACATATATATGAGTGATGCCTGCGCTGCTCCCTTCCCCCATGCCTTATGCACCGCCTAATGTTAGGTTATTTAAGAAAAGAAGTTTCACTTCAGAGATATTTTTTTTTACTATACACGTACTAGTTAAATGAGAAAATGGAACACTACAGCAGCAGACAAAAAGAGGTCTTTTGAGATACTAGTCGAACCTAGTATCCACAATCTTGTTTAATCAAATTTCAGCTTAAATTGTGTTAGTGTTCATACACCAATAATCATCCACACTATCTCATGATAGTGTGGAGGAGAAGAAATACTTTATTACTATTATTTTCAACACATAATTATACGTTATAAAAATTAAAATCGGACTTCAAAGACAGCGTGGTGGAAAATTGTTATGCTAATTTGATTTAAACAATTTTTTGGCCATTTTATAATTCTAAAGGTTAATTATTGATAGAGAATACTGGAAACTAACCAACAAATAGCATCAGAGGTTTGGTAAGAAAAGTTTTATTTCGGTTATATTCGGATATCCCACGATACGAGGGATCTAAATTTCTTTTGGACGTCAATGTTCCGTCCACCGTGGTAATGGTTATATTTAGGGATGCAAAGTCTTTTGAAATATCGATATTTATATCGAAGTCAGGAAAATATCGATATCCGATATATCGACCATTTTAACTCGATATTATCGATATATCGATATTTTTTCTTTTTTTTGCTTTGTATTAAGTTTGCAAAGCAAAAACCTATAATTAAGGGAGGAAAGTTTTCCGAAATATCGATATTTATAATGTGGGCAGGTAAATATCGATATCCGATCTGATATATCAGCCATTCCAACATTTTCTATATTTTTATAGCGCTGTAAGAAGTATCAAATCAAAAGCAATTTCGAATCAAAGATATTTTTTTTGTTTAAAATGTTTGCACGCAGCCAAAATCAGAATAGATAATCATATGAAAAACAATTGTTATGTATTAGTAAAACCTACACATCAGGGGCGTGCCCATGGCTTTAGAATAGGGTAAGCCCAAAGCTTCCAAAATTACTATACCTATCTTACTTTCTTGGCTTGGCGAGCTTAAAAAAATTACGATTTGTATAAGATAAGATTCTTAATTTTATTTTGTGTTATATTACAATGATATTAAATTTTAATTAATCAGTAGTTGACAATTATCTAGAAAGAGAGGCAAGTATTTTATTTAAATGCATGAGTTACCATTAGGTATACGATTATACCTATATACGTTGGTGTCGATTCTGGCATGATTATCTCAACTTAAAACTAAATTCAACATCAGTCTCTCCTTTTCATTCTGTATAGAGAATGACAAGGATACACTGTTGTAGTTTAGTATATTTCTTGGGGTTCTAGATTTTTTAATACATCTATAAGCTCTTGCGATTTCAAAGCAATAGTTATTTCGATATTATTCAATTTAGATAGTCATAGCAGGTAAATCAATTGATATTATTGTGTTTAAATTTAGTCCACGAAATATCGATATTTTGGAATTTCCGATATCGATATTATCGATATCAGTGAATTTCAAATATCGATATAAATATCTATATTTTGGTCTCGATATTATCGATATTATCGATATTCCGATATATCGTTGCAACCCTAGTTATATTCTCTGTAGGATACTTACGGACTGTTTTTTTTTGTTTTAGGTCCACACCTGAGTCGAAGCAATGGCAAGGTAGGTCCAATGTTTTCTTTATATACGTATTTTTTAAAACCCATTTCTTTAAAAAAAAAAGCGTGATTTAAATTTACCTCCTATCATTAAATAAAACTAGTTTTTACGGGTTAATGCACGAAACGTCAATAAATAAATAAAGTTTCGTGCATTAACCCGTAAAAACTAGTTTTATTTAATGAGTGATGTGCGTGAAAACCTTAGAAACAAATACCTCTTATCATGTAAAGAGACTGTTAAATCTCGAACATTAGAGTTCTCATGCGTTTGGCAACCCTGCGCGGCGCGGTCTCGCTCGCGACAACACCGCAACAATAACAACGTCTCGCTCGCGACGACAACAGCGCCTTTCCATTTTGACTTTAAGAGAAATAGAGAAATTTGCTTGGCTAAATGGTGAGAGTGATAGGCTAGCTTTTACATGGCTTTTGCTTTTTGTGCAATTCACAGCAGTTTATTCTATATGACAGCGTTTCATTACGTGACGATTCTACCACTGTCCGGGCTAAAGAGACAACTACGGTATTGTTATCATGCTTCACAAGGTAATGAAAAAGAGAGACTCCTGTGAAATTGTCAAATACGAATAGTCATGCAAAGTGCTAACATTAGATGCATTTATTTATATAATGTGTTGTTTATAGCGAATTCATCCATCGCGAGCAGTTCCCCCCAGCCCCCTTCACCAGTGAGCAGGCCTCGCTCGAACAGCGTAAACATGCCGGCTACCATCCCCCCCTCGAGGAAAAGGACGTCGTCAGGGTTGTTCCAGGTATGATCATTATATCGGTGACCCATTCATAACCAGGTCTTGCTCGAACCTCGTCAACATACCGGTAACCATCATCATCATCAGCCTATTAATGTCTCCACTGCTGGGGCACAGGCCTTCCCTATGGATGGAATAGGGAGATTGGGCCATGACCCACCACGCGGGCCCAGTGCGGATTGGCGGGTACTAACCACTGCAGATGTAGCCGGGACCAATGGCTTAACGTGCCTTCCGAAGCACGGAGGAGCTCAAGATAGTAAATTTTTTGGTCACCCATCCAATGACCGACCACTGCGAAAGTTGCTTAACTTCAACGATCGCAGTAGAACGCGTGAACCACTTGCGCCATCGAGCTCCTCTCTAAAGGAAAAGGACGTCTTCAGGAGTGTTCCAGGTATTATCATCATATCGATGATGCATTCATAACCAGACCTCGTTCGAACCGCGTCAACATGCCGGCCGCCATCCCCCGCTCAAGGAAAAGAACGTCTTCAGGATTTAGGAGTGTTCCCGGTATGATCATCATATTGGTGACCCAATCATAACCTTTTCCTGCTTATGTTGGAGTTGTGTCAACATCAAATGCTAATTTGAATGCAAAAGTGTATAGGTACTTATAAATAAAGAATACTATTATTTGTAACTTTTTAGTGGCTTTGTTTTTATGAAGTCGTTTCTTATTTTTGATAAAAAAGTTTTTATAAGATAAATATTTTCAAATGATACCTGCTAATATATATAATCAACCTATAAATTGGTATTAAATATATTTGATTAGTATGAACACGAGTTATACAAATTTCTTCCAAATGAAATAAATCCTATTAGGCCTACCTATTAGAACTTAGCGGTTTGGCTGCGCAGTAGACAGTTTCATTCCTGTAAAATCTATTTAGCTTCACATCCGCTAACTTCATTCTTATAAAATCAATTTCGCTTAACATCCGCTAACTTCATTCTTATAAAATCTATTTCGCTACACATCCGCTAAGTTCAGAGCTGTCGATCATTTTTCTTCTTTGAATCATCATCTTTGAATGGTTTCTTTATTACAAAAATAAGTAAGTTAGTGCATTCCTATAGTTATAAAATCCTACCATTCACAGGTGGACGACGAAGAGCCACCATCGAAGAAGACTGAATTGGCCAGGCCCAATTCCGATGGCGCACGTAGAACCCCCGAAGTCTTTCCGAATGGTCGGAAACCTGTTGACGGAAAGGGTGACAAGGACATACATAAACAGAAGAGGAGAGAGAAAGAGAAAGAGAAAGAAAGCAACGCTGTGCTAGAGACATTCGCCAGTGAAGCCAAAGGCAAGACTGTGGCTGCTTTCAAAGAGAGCGACAGTTGGGATTAAGTGTAGGAATAAATGGATGTTCACATATTTAACTTGTTTCATTTCTTATGTGATATAAGATTCTGCGAGGAGCTCGATGGCGCGCGGCATCAGCGAGTATGTATATTATGTTGACTGCTGGGGCACAGGCTTTCCCTATGGATGGAATAGGGAGATATGACCCACCACGCGGGCCCATTGCGTATTGGCGGGTGCTAACGACTGCAGATGCAGCTGGGACCAACGACTTAACATGCCTTCCGAAGCACGGAGGAATTCGAGTGTGAAGATTTTTGATCACCCATCCAATGACAAGTGAAAGTTGTGAAAGTTGCTTAACTTCAACGATCGCAGCCGAACGCGCTAACCACCTGCGCCATCGAACTCCTCCTTGTAAATACTAATACTACTCAATTCTCATTTTGTGTTGGATCTTATATAACGTGAATACAAATTCTAAACAAACTATGATTCTAGAAATTTATGTTATTTACGTGATTGTTACCATCTTGTTTTCAGTTACTCCGCGATCATGGTGCTTGCAACAGTGCCGAAATATCGGAAACTCAATAAAACCAATTTACATGGTATCAATCCCGTAAATAGGGTATTTGACAAGTTTTAGAAAACGATCTCATGTTATTTACTAATGTTTATAGAGTCAATAAAAAGTGGATATTCATCATTATGTTGTGTATTTTATTTTATATTATTTTGGTAAAAAAACTAAATCAAACACTCTATTTTCAAGTTGCCGCGAAAAACGTATCTTTGGACAATATGGCGTCTCACTGGTGTGTGACGTCACACGACTGTCATTAAAACGTCAAACCATACAATCTAATGTCACTTTAACCGGAAGTTTACTTGCGTGTGACGTCATTTTAGGCTCCGTCAATCCCAAGCGTTTTGGGTGACAAAAGACAAGAAAACTTATCTTTATCGTGGGTTTTTAGTAAAATTATGAATATTTTTTCCGTAAAACCAGTAAAAACTCCTTCCAATATTCATTCTAAATACAGATGCTAACAATTGGCACTTTATTTTTAATACTGTCAAATACCCTATTACATAAATTACTATAATATCAGTGACAATGAAAGTTTTAAACAAACTATGGTTCACCTGCCCTGCTGGGATGCCTGTTCTCCTGTTCCTAGCTTGATTTGAGGGTTGAAACAGCCATAGCTATTGACATCGTAGTTCGCTACTTACTGGGCAGGATCTCTATAATAATAGACGCGGCAGAATCCCTAAAAGAGGCTCCCGCGGTTTTGCACTTAGAGGGTATTTACAGGGTTCTTTAGCGGATATTGTGCCGTAAAGCGGCCGCAAGAGTTACGGGGTCCTCAGTGGGTAGCCACTGCGGGGGCCCGTAAGGTTTGCGGGAGCCAGGTGCCAGGTCCGTTCGGCGGTGTGCCTCTTAAAGGTGCAGTCGTCCGTAAATAGAGATTTTGCCTGCGTCAAAAAAAAGGATATCTTTAATATGAAACGGAAAGAAGCAGAGGCGAGTAGTATTTGACGACCTCCGTGGACGAGTGGTTTGTACGCCGGGTTTCATGGCTGTCGTCGACTCGAGAGGTCCCGGGTTCGAATCCCGGTGGGGGCAGATGTTTGTGTGATGAATACGAGCATTTGTACTCCAGTCATGGATGTTTAATATGTATTTATATAAATATATTTATATATGTACAGTATATGTATTCTATCCGTTACCCTAGCATCCCATAACACAAGCCTTATAGTGCTTACTTTGGGGCTAGGCTAATTGGTGTGAGTGTCGGAAATATTTATTATTATTTATTATTTATTATTTATTATTAGTATCTATACGCATATGACCCTCTACAAGTGGGTTGAAACCTTCTCTTCTTTAATTTGACAATGGCGAGTTTTTCTCTTCAATGTTGACTCGAGTCTGCAGTGGTGTTGAGTGGTCGCCAGCACGTTTGGGATTTCCAAGGGCATTGCATAATGGGAGGCACATGCCGCTTTGAAACCCCAGCTATACGGCGCCACTACCGTCGACGTGGCACGGGAATCACGTGTTAAAAAAAAAAAACTTTTTATACATAGAACATAATAAAAAGTTAGCAGTTACAGGTGCTTTATAATAATAATAAATCATTTTTGTTTCAGGCACTGGTATGCATTCAAATACATGTCCCATTAATTATTAATAACTTATATCCACTTACGTTTCGCAAGATTTAAATTAAACATTATTAATAGCATACATTGTTCTAAGTCATTTAACTGACAATTATTATTCCATATTGTATTAAACATTGTATTAATTTCTATTAAGTTTTCAGATTACAAAAAATTAAATCATACATAAATAAAGTTCGAAAAACAGCCAAAACAATGCTATTGGTACATTTTATTAGTCTATTATGGAATGAGACTTTTAATCCAATCATAAGTTCATGAAAGTTTTCCACATTATCTCTTATCTATGAGACAAGTCCGTCCGTCCGTCTGTGGTGCTGTTTCAGCGGCCAAACCGTAAGAGATAGATAAATAAAATATTTAAGTTATAAGTTAAGAATAGTCTGATAAGACTACAAACCGGATTTGAGTAACGTAGCACTTCCGGTTTTCGAGAAATCACGAATTTCAAACGAAACCACACAAAATCTCCGAAGTTCTCAATTAATTAAATACATTTTTATTTAAATCAGGTTTTGGTGAACATTTGGTTCACTGGTTTGCTAGTAAGTATTAAACATGCTGGTTGCGCTACATCTCCATGGCAACCCTAACATTGCACGAAACGCATTGTTGTATTGCACTCCTAGTGTGTTAAAGATTTGTTTAATACGGTACACTTTATATGGGTAGATTATATTAGCGGCATATTAGTGTAGTGCTTGGTAAGCATGCTTAATGTATGTTCACATATACATAACAGTAGTCAAATTATGTAAACAAGTTCACACTTTAGCTGACTCTACCAGTGTACAGGACATTTACAGGCATACATAAAAATATTACTTACATTGATTACATATTTTTGAATGTTTGGAATCTTTTACTTCTAAAGCATCTGATTTTTGGGTAAACAATGTGCCTAAATACTATATTATCCACTAAACTTATATAACTAATTTGACAACAGTAGGTACTCTTACTACCAAAGACATTAATATACTATCTTATTACTTACATTTTGTTATTTTAAGCATTTAACTGCTGGATGTTGAAATCTAAAGAATAATATACAAGAAAACAACCAATCGGTCCGATATATTTTTTATTAATATTATACCTACTATTTTTACTTAAAAGACATGTTAAGGATATACTAATAGTATTGTCAAATTCAGTTTTTTCGATTTAGAGAATCGTGCCAAAATCGCAGCAGAATTTACATTATATCACGCTTTTTATCGCGTCTAACTGTCAAACTCCATAGTAATTTGACAATTGAGCGTGATAAAAAAGGGATATTTAAATATATCATATCCCGGTGAGGCTCTGTAAAGGTCATCTGCGACCAACAGCATACACACTAAAAAAACACGCTAGGGGCAGGCCAATTTTTGGTTCAATTGTGAACCGATGGGAGGAAATGACTTGTTCAATACCGTTCATTTTATTTGCAGTTCAATAATTATTTCTTTCTTGAAAATATGCAGTAATTTCTTACTTCAATTATCCCGAGTTCAACGCATTTGTTTTTGTGATATGCTCAAAAATAGAAATTCTCGACTTCATACTTCTTTAAATTCAGTAACGGTAAGTATGAAACATAGGCACTTCTTTAAATAGGTGAATATGAAGAGAACATCTTTAATTATTTTCAGCGAAGAAAACAGCTACTTGAGCGAAATCAGAATCAAAGCTAGTTCGGCCCCTTACAAAGAAACGGTCAACTCAGTGGCAGAGTCAAAGTGCATGATGTACACAACAATGGTGTATTTACTGTGTCACAGCGCGACGCAGGCGCAGGCTGACATCGCAGCAGCTCAATCAGCGCCGCATTAATTAACTACCTTTGATATTCTATGGTAGGTACAATTGCCAATATTCGCCGTTACACACTTTGGTGAACTAATCTAGAAGGAGACTTATGAATAAAAATAAAATGGAAGCATTTATAAGAAACTTGAACTTGACGTAACGAGAAGTAAACATCAGTACCCTAGCACGAAACATTATCGAATTCGAATAGTTTTGACTGCGCAATGTCAATGTCTTTTGTATGAAAACTTAAACAGCAGCTCCACAAAGTAGGTACGTAACGGGAACTAAAAATCAGTACACATTTGACAATGAAATTACGGACTCGCAAACGTTACGAATTCGATATTGGTTCGTGCTAAGGGTACGTACACATTTGACAATGACATTTCGTACTCGCAAATTATTCGTACAGATCGCGCGCGTACTGTACCTACCTTAAACGTCCAACAGCACGATAAATATATGGCATTTCCCTTTAGTGTGGCCTTAGCATGAAAGGTTCATATGTACAAGTACATAACTATGTAAGTATTTATTTGTATATATTAAATAGCACCTGATGGGTGGTGTGGGTGAGTCGGTTGCGGCCGGATGTGTCAGTCTCGTGTCCGCACGCGATGCCAAAGTGCCATACATGCCCGGAGGCACTCGCGGTCGCGATTATAGGCCCGACTTACACTATTTAGGAGCTTTATGGCGCAAGTGGTTAGCGCGTTCGGCTGCGATCGCTGAAGTTACAACTTTAAGCAGTTTTCGCAGTTATTGGATGGGTGAACAAAAAATATTTACTAACTCGAGCTCCTCCGTGTTTCGAAAGGTACGTGAAGCCGTTGGCTCCGGCTGCATCTGCATTCGTTAGCACCCCATAATCCGCACTGAGCTCGCGCGGTAGGTCATGGCTTAATCTCCCTATTCCATAATGTCTGTCTGGGAAATGCCTTACACATTGAAGAAGGTATCTGGGACTCCTCCCTGCTCATTTCAGCCTTGGGCCGGATGAAATAAACAGGGCCCTACCTAATGCCCTAAACAGGGCTAGCAAAAACTAGACAATACTCCTGTTACTGGACCGCGG